CTTCACCGGAATTACCGAGCCTTCCTCTAGAATTGATGACGGAAATCATCCTTCGATCACCGGTCAGATCGGTAGGGCGATTCAGGTGCGTATCGAAAGCTTTTTGCTCTCTTTTAACGGATCCAAGGTTCGCGAAGAATCACCTCGGTTTAAATCTTCGAACGTTGAATCGGAAAGTTATCTTGTCTTTGAACAATCTATTCGCGGTTGATATCGATTCGATCGGCGATGGAAGTGAAGGAAATCGGAAATTTCCTGCTGTTGAACTCGATTACCCGCTTAAACAAGAACGTGATCTCTTACCTGTGATGAAAACCAGAACCGCCAGATATACGATTTGGAGTGATGCAGAGATGGCTTACTCCGATTATGATCAAAGCCGAGTTGTAGTCGTCGGATCTTCGAACGGGTTGTTGTGTGTCTCTTCTGATGACGACATTGTCTTCTTGTATAATCCAACCACCGGAGAATCCAAGAGAATACCGGACTTGCCTGAATCTATGCGCCCTAAACTCGTGAATAAGGACATGGTAGCTTATGATATACATGGGTTTGGCTTTGATGCTCTGAAAGATGATTACAAAGTGGTCAAGTTTGTTGTTAGTGGCAGCATTGGCAACGTTCGCAACAATGAGCTCGAAGCTAGTGTCTACTCTCTCAGGGCAGACTCATGGAGACGGATTTGTAATCTGCGTTATAAGCATGTACATCCTACTTCCGGTGTGCATCTCAACGGCGCGATACACTGGATTGTTAAACTTAAAGAAGATCCAAACAAGAGAGTGGTTGCAGCATTTGATCTTGAGACAGAGGAGTTCCGAGAGATTCCGTTGCCTGATGAGGCCGGGGAGTGTAACCATCCGTTCATGAAACTTGACGTCGGATCTCTCAAAGGGAGTCTCTGTGTGAGCTACAGTTGCCATGTGGTGCACGACGATATATGGGTAATGAATGAGTATGGCCTCCAGAGTTCGTGGTGTAAGATTCGTATCAGCATTTTGTACACCTCCATGAAACCAATATGCTCGACCAAGAATGATAAGGAAGTTGTTCTAATGATTGATAGGAGCTTGGTCTTGTACAACTTTGAGTGCGATACCTGGAGAGCTCTGAGAATTCGCAAGGTTAAGCTCGGTGATGGGTTTGAAGGTAATACGTACGTAGAGAGCCTCATATCACCAAACTCATATGGGGTAGAGAGCTGAAGAAAGACTTGCACCTAAAAATGAAAGATTTTGTGTGGTTTCTCCTCTTAAGCCAAATAGTTTAGGTAGCTTTAAAGTTAAAAGTCATGTTATTTAGACTAGTGTTTTAGTGAGGAGCTTCTGTAATTATTTATTATCACTAGTTAATGTTCTCTTTCAGAATTTCAATTTGGTTCAATTACGAAGCTTTTAACAATTATTCAAATATACTATCATATGAATTTCACTATTAGCTACGCAAATTCCCAACAGTAACACAAACTTTTCTAACGTCCTTATAATGCTAGGTTTATTCTGATGGAGAATGTTAAAATAACCAAAGATTAGACTCGGGTCCAGTGTAACCGGTAGCAAAAGTAAGGTAGTCAGAGACTGAGGAATCAGAATCTAAAGAGCAGTGAAAGCGATAATGGAGGCGAGGAAGAGGGAAAGGCGGAGAGAAAATGACGACGGAGAAGAAGCAGCTTCACCAGGATTCCAAGAGGCTACCGGACTTGACTGAATCTCTGCGTTCTAAATCCGTAGTTGAAGAACTGGTAGAAATCGAAACACATGGGTTTGGCTTTGATGCTCTGACCGATGATTACAAAGTGGTCAAGTTTGTTGATAGTAACAGTGGTCTCAACGCTAGTGTCTACTCTCTCTCAGGGCAGACTCATGGAGACGGCTTCGTAATCCGCGTTATAGGCACGTACATCCCGCTTCCGGTGTTCATCTCAACGGAGCAGTCCACTGGATTTTCAAACTTGAAGAGGGTCAAAACAAGAGAGTGGTTGCATCATTTGATCTTAAGACAGAGGAGTTCCGTGATATTTCCTTGCCTGATGAGGTCGAGGAGTGTAACCATATGTTCATGAAACTTGAGGTCGGCTCTCTCAAAGGGTGTCTCTGTGTGGTCTACAGTTGCTTTGAGATTCACAACGATATATGGGTGATGAACGAGTACGGCCTCCATAGTTCGTGGTGTAAAATTCGAATCATGAGTCCGTACATCTTCATGAAACCACTATGCTCGCACCAAGAATGATGAGGAGGTTCTTCTAATACTTGATATGAGTTTGGTCTTGTACAGCTTTGAATGCGATACATGGAGGAATCTAGGAATTCGCAGGGTTAAGCTCAACAATGGGCTCGATGGTAATACGTACATAGAGAGCCTCATATCACCAAACTCATATGGGATAGAGAGCTGAAGAAAGGCATGCACCTCAAAATGATAGATTTTGTGTGTTTTCTCTTAAGCCAAAGAGTTTAGGTAGCTTTGGAGTTAAAAGTCGCATGTTAAAAACAGTCTTTTTGAAAACCAATGGCCAACAACATATTTAAGATCAGAACCATAAACGTGTAAACTCATGTGAGCTAGTGTTTTAGTGAGGAGCTTCTCTAATTATTCAATATATCACTAATTAATATCCTATTGCTCTTTGAGAATTTCAATTTGATTCAATCACGGTTTACTAAAAAGCTTTCTATAATTATTCAATAGTATTACATAAATCATAAATGTCATTATTAGCTGCTCAAGTTCTCAACAGTAACACAGATTTCTCTAACCACATCTTTGTGGCTATATTTATTCTAACAGAGAATGCTAAAATACAAAAGTCTCATCTCATCGAATCTTTATTTATGAATCGAAGTCTAACTTGAGTAAGAAATCTTGTCTTTAATCAAATTAAGAAAAACAAAATAGATAAACTATTTTTTGTTGAAGAATGTGACCCAAGTTGTCAAAAAAAAAAAAAAAGAGAATAATGTGGATGGACACTTTTATTAAGCTAAAGTGGTATCCAAAATAGACCAATACTCCCTGAATCTAAGATAAAAAAAGGATTTCTTATATTGTCGTATCTAAAATTGTTAGGTCTACTAAAACTCCAACGGCTTTTCATCTACTGATAATTATAACAGCTAAGCTTTGCTTTTTTATCATCTTTTTAGCCAAAACATCTGAAATTGGATTTGACATTGGATCATTACTATTTTTTGGTATCTTTTTCAAGTACCACATGTTCTCTTACTTATGATCCAATTTTTTTCAGACAAAACAATAAAAACTATTAAATTATTATCTTCTTGCAGAAAAATTGGAGCGACGGTGCGGGGGAGCAATGGCAAAACAAGACATGTGACCCCATAATCACAACCATACACGACGGGTTTTAAATGCTTAACTGAATTGACCAAAATACCCCTAACGACACACCGACGCGTCTTCCTTGTCCACATGCCCTTGCTCAATTATTTTATTCAGCGTGGTCATCGGCTTGGGGTCATGGTAAATCCAGTTGAACAACAGGGGCATAATCGTCTAGTCATAAAATTGTCTTTTCTCTCCCTCCGCCTCCATTAAAAAAAGCTTATTTGGCTGCACTTGGGATAAAATCTCCTAAATTTTCTTGGAGATCAATTTTTAGAGCTGTCAAATTTTGAGCTTTCCTTTTCTTTTGTTTCCCTTAGTATATATAAGATCTTTGGATTTGTTTAGTTGAACATTCCAAGACTTTTAATCCTCCCTTAGTTTCCCTTCTCTTCTCTTCTGGAAATTATTGGGAGGATTTTAAAGTTCTGGTAAATCTAGGAAATTAAGGAAAATTTTAGATTATTTTTTTCTATTGAAAGAAAGAAGCTTGTGGATTTGTGA